AGTGCTTTCTATACGATTAATGGTCAAGTTGTTCATTGCAATTATTATGCTTTACATAGTATTTACTATTCCGACAAAGTATAAACGGACGATATTTATGATTTTGAAACTGGCCAACTCTTAAATAAAGGAGGGGCACTGGTTTCTGAATCGTTCGACGTTGGTGAGGAACAAAGTAACCCGTGTACAGATAATTAAATATTCTTGCGTAATTCCAATACGAAGCTGATTTCTTTATCCAAGGAAATAAGGCGATTTAGATTCGAACGGTTGGATTTTATGTTGTGCCCGGATTGACAACGTCCCGATGTACATGAGTCGGGTAGAAATTGAGTTCTCATTATCCGAATTCTTTTTTAACAACCGTGGTCCTTTATAGGTCGACCGTCATTTCCATGTGTTAAGCCCTCTTTTTTATTTTATTCCCCCTCGCGGCTCCCGGCAGCATTTTTTTCTCCGACGGTATGTAATTATTTTAATTTACCCTTTCCCACTCTCTTGGTTTTCGTCTGATATAGGTATATAAATATATAGTCTGATATATGTATATATATATATATATGTCTATAGGCCATCCATTTAATTCGGAAACTTAACTTTAAGCAAAAAAAATGCTCTTATTCAAGCCCCAAGTTATTTTTGGCTAGGAATCGCATGGTGGTAACATATTTAACATAACTTTCTCACCTAGCTGGGAAATGACACTAAATTTTTTATTTTAAATGAGACGCCCATATTTTTATTGCACAGTCCGATTCTAGATCTTAATGCTACTTTTACCGAAAGGGAAATTTCTGAGTTATGCTCGTCGGAAGAAGCGTGAAGGGAGTACTCTTATCAGTTATTATGTATTGTTGTAGATTGTAGATATTTATACTCAATAATACACAATTTTTTCGAAATGAAAAATTTGTGTCACAGGCGGGATTCGAACCCACGACTTTCGGCTCAATACGCCGTTGCTCTACCACTTGAGCTACCGTGACCTCGATCGCCCATGCCACAAACTTCTCATTTCGAACTACCCGATTTTATTCTAATTATAAGCTAAATCTAAATCGCGGCTTCATATAGAAACATTAAATAATTATTAATCTAGAATCACACCTGTGAATCGTACACAGCCTATTAATAATTAGAATAAAATCGGGTAGTCGAAATGAGAAGTTTGTGGCATGGGCGATCGAAGTCACGGTAGCTCAAGTGGTAGAGCAACGGCGTATTGAGCCGAAAGTCGTGGGTTCGAATCCCGCCTGTGACACAAATTTTTCATTTCGAAAAAAATTTTGTGTTATTGAGTATTTATATAATTAATAGAAGCTGATAAAATTTAGTAGATATTTATGTTAATAATAAATGTTCAAATACACTTCCTGCGCAAAAAGGCACGGTACAAAATGCATTTTAAGTCTAAACCAGGGAAAGCCAACTTGTTATAAAAAGCATATCCCCCTCACACGTCTTCCGTTGCGCATAACTCGGAAATCGTTAATCCTATCAAAATTTTTAAGTTGCATAAAATAAGCTATAGAATCGAATTGTGGACTAAAAATATTGGCTTCTTATTTAACATAACACAGTTAGGGTCATTCCTAGATAGATGAGAAAGTTATGCTAAATCTGTGACCACCACGCGATTCCTAGCCAAAATTAATTTGGAGTTTGTATAAGACTATTTTTTTGCTCAATTTAATCTTTTTCGAAATAAAGGAAATGGGCCATCTTGTTGTTATAAAAATCATATCCCCTCAAACGCCTTCCGTCGCCCATAACTCAGAAATGGTCGATCCTATCAAAATTTTCCTATCAGTAAAAGTTGCATAAAATAAGCTCTAGAATCCAAGTGTACAATAAAAATATGCCTTCTCATTTAACATAACAAAGTTAGTGTCATTTCCCAACTAGACGAGAGTTATTTAACATTTTAGTTAACATTTTATGGGCCTTCAATTTTCTTTCTTTTTTCAATCCGAATTCGAACCCAGAATTCTTAAAGAACTGTAATTCAAGTTCAAAAAGATATTTTTGTCATAATTAAATCTACTTGTAAAAGTAACACTTTCTCAACTTACTGTTACTAAACAGTCAGTAACTAGATGTTAAACTATATATGCAACTTTCATCAGCTATAGAAAATCGTTTACAGTTGTTAATATTCTTATTAAATTTATTTAAGTTTTTTAAATTAATTAAATTTATTTAAGTTATTTAAATTGGTTTTTAATATTATATAATGTAGAAAAGGCTGAGATGAAAAATTAGTGTTACGAGCGGGACACGAACCGACGACCTCCGGACCGGCGCTTCTGCCACTTGAGCTATCGTGACTTGAGTCCTCGAAACGCCAACTCCTAATCTCAACTGGCTATTACTAAATTTCCCTCCTACTACATCTTCTTTTTTTAATATTGTTCATGTAATTTGGTCATTACCGACCCTGCTGGTCTGCTTATCCACAGGTCAGAGGCTGGGTTCGGTATTTCGCCATCTTCGTGTTGGGTCTTCTGTGGGGGTACAAATAACATGTTTTTAAAAGGATCATCTTTTTTTGGGTATCAATTAAAGCACTCCTTTATTTAATAGGATTTATAAAAGGAAAACACTGGCGTGGTACAGAGTACAGGGATGAAAGCTTTTCAGGTAGAGAAAAGTGTGTATAGACTTATGACACGCGCTTTACAAAATATTAAATTATCACGGTTGTTTTCCCCTAGGGAATCGAGGTTGTTGGGAGTGAAAACGGTTTTGAAAAAAATAAAGCGGGTCGAGGGTGAGATCCGGCTGTGATAAAACAGGTACCGATATCCGATCTGGGGAATCGACTCGTCCGCGACGAAAACCGCAATTGCACGTTAACGAGTGCGGCCCCGATTTCAGATTGTTTCCAATTCGAGTCGCCAAATGCAAATAAAGAACGAGACCGCAAAATCGTCCACGTAATCGTCAAGTCGTGAGAACCCCGGCGGGATAGCACCGGACCTTCGACCGCAGAGCGTCCGCGGGGATCCGTCCGTCAGTTTTTGAATCGAGGAAAATGTTACGCGGAAAATGGGAAAACGACTTACGCAGAAACTGACTCTAGGCACCGAACGTCTCCTCGTCGCAAGTCCGGTCGCCGACCAGGGATCCTGGCACGATTTATCGAAGGGAAGGTATGATCTTACCCGATGTCATGAAATATCCGGACGGTCTCGAGACCGGTGATGTTCAGAGGCGTTCCCCGTTCTACTTCGTCCGGCGATAAATCCGGGAATAGCAAAATCTGTAAACTACGACGGGCCGCCGACAGGCCGACGGTTCCGCGCCAATCGTGACTCTCGCAAAATTATCGAACCGCGATCGCGGGGAAGTATCGATCGCCGGGGCGTGTTCATCACCAGAAAGCCAGGAGTCGGATGCAAATTCCCGAGGATCGTGAGAACAGTCGTCGAATTAAACAAGTGAACAGTGGACGGCATTGCCCGCACTGTGATAAACAATGCAGAGAAGCTCATTATAACCCTCGTTATCCCGTGCACACCGCTACAAAGGACCTGCACCCCCCTCTAACCCGATCCGGACCTCCTGGAAGGATAATTAGAATCCTGCAGGTGGGATGGCATGGGCCGTCGGTCCCTGGCACTCGTCCCAGTGGACCGCTTCCCCCCGTGTCTTTAGAACCGATGCGAAACGTTTATAATCGAACTTGACCCGGATTTAAAACCTGCACTTCGATCTCTGCTGTGAAAATTGTATAATATATCGGACACGCTCACGCTCAAATCCAAGTACAAACGATTATTTTTAACGCACTTGTAACATTTCTCTCATATCAAACATCTGTTCGTACATTATTTACGAATTTTATAGAGACGTGCTGTATTCGAATGCGCGACTTAAACACAGAACAACCATCCATTAGGATTAGGTTATCACACCGAGAAAATCAATCCGACTTTAAATCCGTACTTTCTGAATCTTCCCCTTTTTACTGTTTTCGAACACAAAGTGAATTTGAGGACAAGATGCAAAAATGGGCGTCTATGCGTAAGGATAACAAAAGAAAAATTCCTTCCGGCGCAACCATTCAGATCCGACGACATGCCTCTCTGTACGTCGACAGTCTCCACTAAGTAGTTTATTATGTACTATTAACCGCCATAACTGTGTTTTATGCGCTGTATTTATGGTACAACGGCCGGCAAGTAGGCAAGCATGCTTGCATCGTAACCGGCGGAATTCCAAGTTCCGTTTAGTGACCTCTGCCACTCCCAAACAAAAAACAACTTACTTGAAAAGATCGTTAGTAATACAAAACGAAAACTTAACTAACTAAACAATGACTTTGTACCACACAAAATTATATACATTTATTTATATAGCATTTAATGCAAATTAGAAATAATTACAGTACATCTTGATAACGAAAATCAGGATATTTTCTCGTCACATTCTCTCTTTCCATATTTGGATGGTTTTATATTTTATTTTTATATTGTTTGTTTTATAAAGTGTACATATATTAAGGCTATGGTTCAGCATTTTTATACATTATAAATGTGGCAACTCATATGATCAGTATATGCAGGAATCATGTCAAATTTGTCAAAATAAATCAGATTCTCGCGTCAGAGTGTTGCATTAATTTAATTCTTACGGACATTGTTTGGATATTTAAATATCCGATGAAGTTAAATATCAAAATTCAATTCTAGAAGCCATGTTGTCAGTACAAAATGTGTATTTTTATTTTTTTTTTTTTTTTGCCTTTGTGGGATGAATTTTAGATTTGGTTCAGTCGCTTAATACATTAAATTTGCTGATGTAAAAATCGAATTCACTCTGACCTTATTCCAGTTGAATAACGGATAATTCAATTAAACTCTTTATTTGGACAGACTCAGTCGCTATGGCTGTCAATAGGCAACTTTAAAGTTTACAATTATGTTACTGTAAATAAAAGCATGTAAAATGTATTTATTTAAACAATTGATTAATTTTATATTTTGTTTTGTTTTTAGGAAGACTAGATATGGAGTTGCGGGATAAAAGACTTTTATTTATTCTCAACCTTTTCACGTACTTTGTGGTGAGTTTATTATTTCTGACTGTTATTTCATGCACAATTGTATTTAGTGGTCTCATTGGCCAAGTTACCTCTTGCAAATAATTAATCTTTTTATGTAAGGTTTCGGTTGAAATGAACCGTGGGTTCATCCCGCTCGTGACGATAGCTCTATCGAGACAATCTTTCGTCGTAAAAGTAAAATTATTTTTAAAAAGGGATCAAATTTTTGGAAATCTGGCTGATTTGGACAACCAAATAGTTATTTCACCTAAAGGCCCTTCATCCCTAAGAGATGTCACTCCTCGATCTGCTGACCGCCCGGGGTTGCTTGTATCTCCCTTAAGCCAGATGCCCAAGCTTCCCGGCCAACCGGGTTAAGCTCCAACGGGGGCTTTCGACAGCTAGGTCATTTCAACCCTGACGCATGCAAAAACTAACTAACTATTTTTCAATCTGATTAGTTGGTGGAGTTCTCGATATTCCTCTATCGTCCTGTACATAAATAATTTAATGTAAATTTGGTCAATAGGCTACTTTTATAAATATTCCGCTATCGACTCTAAGCACACACAATACCGGAGGAGCGTTGATAACACTATATTTCACCATCAACTCCTTAAGCCTAGTACGCACTGATATTCTTTGAATCGATTCATGTTGCGGAGCAGAGTCGGGGCTGCGTAGATTCATTGTTGCGATGCAGCCCCGACTCTGCTCCGCGACAAAGAACCGTGTCCAGACCAAGATTCAGTTCACATTCATCAGTGCCTGCAAAATGACGGGGAAACTAGCTCTCAGGAATTTCCCTTGCTCTTTTTTGCATTGCACGTAGTGCATACAAACGGAAGTGCATTAAAAAAACAGTCATTTTAAAGTGTGCATTTTTTCAATTTCGGCGACGGAAACACTGAATTTTTGGGTTAAACTGTTTAATGTTTAGCTTTTCAATTCCCGATTTCTGTATTCCGTGAATGATTCATCCCACAAACACCGATTGGAATGTATGTCTTAAATAAACTGTAAAGTCAACTCGGTATTCCATAACATACCTTTAATACAAGACAGTATCAAAATTTTCAAGAAAGCACTCACTAGAACGTCAACTAAACAAATGAAGCAAGAGCGCTTGTTCCGATTCTCGTCCGCACTGGCAAATGCGCAACATTGAGTCAAAGAATCCCACATCGGACGGGATTCAAAAGAGTCCGAAAATGCTAGCCCGCAATACACCAGATTCATCGCTACAAGGAGTCGGGGCAGCCCGGACTCAGGCTAGACGCAGCCGAGACTCTCCGGAGATTCAAAGAGTCGACTCAAAGAATCCCAGTGCGTGCTAGGCCTTACCATTCACACTAATAAATACACTCGCTGAAACAAAATACATAAACACAAACACATAAAACATATCTATATACGATTAAAAAACCCACGGCCTCTTGCGAAACATGGTCTTAGAAAGTCGCTACTGTGCCCATAGTTAAATTCAGCGGCATGTCTACACGCTCTCTATTAGGAGCCCAGGCAGGCATCCATTAAATGGCACACATCGAGCAACACCGCATAAAAGCACCAGTGTGGGCTTTGGTCCAGGAGCAGGTGCCGGAAGATGAAATTTAATAATCATGCATCAATAGAAAGTTTTTTACATGAAAAACCTCTTTAGAGTCATATCAGTTATTGTGTTCAGACTCAGTCTTGGATTTCCACCTCCATAGCTTTCGGGATACCGACCACCAGCCAAGATCTTGTTGATAAAACGAAAGTCACAGTCCATTGAGCCTCGACAAAAACAAAACAAAAAATCAAACCGTTTGGTTTACGCTCCAAGGGGGATGACAATCACAATTAAATTTAGCTAAATTCACTAATTTCGTGGTCCGTTTGACCAATTAGTTTATTACAATTAATTAAGGTTTTTAGATGAGATAAAAAAGGATTCGAACCCACGATCTTCGGCTAGATACGCCGCTGCTCTACCACTTAAGCTATCGTGACCTCGATCCACTCGGACACTAACTTCCCATCTCAATCCCACCTTTTAAATTTTCTCCCCTTTTTGCCATTTTTCAATTTAGTAATAAATCGGGGAGAAATGTCAAGTTTTCATTTTAGAGTACATTTTTCTGATCCTAGCCGAAGGTCGTGGGTTCGAATCCCGCTCGTGACACTGACTTTTTTATCTCAACTAAAAACCTTAATTAACTTTTGTCAATATTATTTTCGTATACAAATACGCTTTTTTAATTCGTAAATTAAAAGGCTTTATTTCTCCTCAGTTTCTGTTTTCAACTTGTTTATTTTGTCGAATAATTTAATAGGTAATCATGTCTTTGTATTGAACGCATTTAAGGGATTGTTTACTTTACGAATTCCAAAAACAGAACAATCCAACTGTTGCAACTGAAAATTTGTGTGCAATGTTTGGTACTAATGCTCTACATGTTCGAAGTCCAACGGTGGATTGCTCGATTTTGATCATGAAATTTTGTTATTGAAGATGATGCGCGCAGTGGACGTCCTTCTGAGTTTGACGACGACATATGCAAAGCCTAGAAGAAAATCCCTTTTTGACGATCCGGGAACCTAGGAGAAAGTTAAATGTTCGATCATCCACTGGAAAATAAATCCAGACTTGGGTTTGTTCAAAAGTACGCTACATGGAGTACACACAAATTGATATAAAAGAATTTGGCGGATCATCTCAATTTGCTCTTCAATCCTCTGTTGTCACCTTTACGACCCATTTCTTCGTAGATTGTTAACAAGTGAAGAAAAATAAAACATACAAAAACATACACGGCAAAAAAACTTATTGCCAACTCGGACAACAGCCCCCAGTTGTCCCAAAACAATAAATTCACGAGAAAAAAAACGTATGCTGTGCATTTGGTGGGACAGGTCCGTCCCCATGCATGTTGAGCTTTTACCTCAAGGGCAAAGGTATATTTGGTAGGATCGGGGATGTGGTCCAATAAATGTTCTGGTGTTGAAACTACGCCAAGCTTTCGGTGTTTTATTTCACCTTCTTCAGGGCTAGATTCTCACATTTTTTCTCTCTTTTTGTCATTTCTTATACTAAGTACAATGTTTTTTAATAAATAAATGGCACTTTTTGCAAACACACAGACAAAGGCAAAAAGTAAACCCTGTTTTTTATATAACATTTATTTATGAAAAAACATTGTATTGAGTATAAGTAATGAAAAAATGTTTATATATGTTGATAAGAGAAAACAATTTTAAATATTGACAGAGAATCTAGGCCTGAGGAAAAACACCCATTGGCCGGAATTATACTATATTCACAGATGGATCAAAATCCCGAGATAGTGTGGGCTGTACGATCTACGATTCTAATTTTAATTATGAAGAACCGTACAAGCTTCCAAATTATAGTTTGGTACATTCCGCCGAGTGTTATGCTCTCCTAAAAGCCGTTAAGTACACCCAAAAGATAGCAAACCAAACAAAAATTATAATTCTATCTGGTAGAAGTGCACTACTAAAAATAAAACACTCTACATTAGAAACTTCATCGAATCCCATTATAGTAGAAATAATCCACAACCTCTACATCATGAAGCAAAAAACATAAATATTAAACAGATTTGGGTTACTGCGCACTGCGGAATTAAAATCAATGAGATTGTCGATACCCACGCCAAACAAGCTGTCACGGAAGGGTCAGATACGAACGACTTTAAAATGGCGATCTCTGACGCTTCCACTGGAAATAAAATACTCCATCGAAAAGTATGGCAGATTAGGTACTCTGAGTCCCCAAAAAGGTAATTTTTTTTAAATCTAGTCAGCCAGAATTACCGTCATTACCGTGGTAAGTAGGACGTACAATGCCAAAAAGACTATGCAAAACTATCTGCAGACTACGTTCTGACCATGCACTGTAAAAAGTACCTTTAGGTAAGACTAAATAAATAAAGTAAAAATAAGACTAAATGAATGCGGGGAAGAAGATACAATGTAACACCTAATTATGAGCTGCCCAAATTTCCAAAGGAAACGACAAAATGTTTTCGAAAAACTATCACGTTTAGTTTCCCTTCCTTTCAACTATTCAACGCTGTTAGGTTATAAAACTTAGAAGTGTACTTATGTATACAATCGTTTCTAAATGATATAAAACATGAAGTATAAAACATGATATTTCTAAATTAAAACTAATTAGTTAACATGGCTATGGCTGCCCAGCGGCTAATGCCAAAAAAAGCCTTGAGGAAGGTAAAATAAAACACCGAAACCTTGGACAAGTTTCAACATCAGAACATTCATTGGTCCATATCCCCGTTCCTACCAAATATATTGTTGAATAACAGCTGCTGTAGGATTTTGTTTGGGTTTTTTGCGATCATAGATATGCTTTACTCTCTTATCCAGATATTGGGATGTAAGACCGATTTAATCACCACACAGAAATGAGAGTTCATCATTCACACCAAAATCCTCTTTTTTTACATGTCCTGATACATATTCTTGGGGAGATTTCATCTTGAGGTCTGGAGGTTGATGGTTGCTGATCATTTTGATCCACCAATCCTCGCAGTTGTTTTTGCAGGAGTTTGCTTACCTAATTTTTTATAATTAAAAAAAACACACTGAACAGAGTCGAAACTCATTTGACGTACTAATAAAGTTAGACCAGATTTCAGGGTCATCACCCTCAATCCCCAATGAAACATCTCTCAATTCAGTGGATTCTGCTATAAAGAATGGGAAAGATTCCTTTCCAAAATTATAGATATCTTTACTTATTTACAGTTTTAGTGTGCCAATTTGGGGTTCTTGGCTAAAGGTAAGAGAGCTGCTCAGCTGCTCCTGATTTTGCTTTTGTCAGTTTGTCTGTTTTCCTTACATCAGTTACCTGGTTTTGTTTTCCCAGGAGTTGTTGACATATTAGGCATTCCTAGACCACTTCGGGTTCAGATGGAGCAGTCTAAAACTTTTCAGTGTGCACGTTTTAATCGGTTTTTAAGTAATTGATGGATCTCAGCTTGGAAAATTAA